TGCCTTGGGCGGGTGAGCACAGAAGTTGTCTCAATAGGCCGGAGACAGGCAGAGCTCCCAGTGGTTTTGGAATGTGGAAAGAACACCCGCAAAGAAAAAGGAAGCTGGAATAGCCGGGTTTAAAGGATTTGTGACTTAATTCGGGATATCGTTGGCCGTCTTTCATTATCAAACGCCTGCAAAGGCTCTAGATTGGAGTTCCGGAGGTAACGGATAAATCAGGTCACTTCTTGAAATCAGGTTGACGAAGCGAGACTTCCAAGTGAGTTTCAGACAGTAACCATTAACTTTAATTGCAGGATTGGAAGCTCAAACGCAAACTGAAACTTAAACTTAGCTAAGGACAAGTTGACAACACACAGTGATAGAAGGGCGCTCACCGATCGTTCATACGGAACTCACTCGTTCCGTTGTGTCTTGGGCTCTCTCTCGAGCCCAACCGACAGTCGAACAGCGGCGCGTACTATGGGCGGAAGGACATTATTGACCAAGACAAGGGAGACTGGATTGGTCATTTCTGGCTTGTCCGTCCTCATCAGCCATTCATACCCAACCTCGAAGTGTGGAACACCTGGAGCTCGATCCCACGACCCGTTGGTTAAAAGTCCAACGTCCCTAACCACAGAATAACCGGCCGGTGGCTCAGTGGTTAGAGGCGTTGGACTTCTAACCAGCAGGTCAGAGGATCGAGCCACAGGTGTTCCACACTTTGGGTCTGGGCATGACTAGTTGACGACGGCTAATGAACCAGAAATAGCCATCCGCTGGTCTTTGTCGGTAATGTCATTCTGACAATACACAGTCATGCCTGCATCTTTCTTGCCTTTGCAGCAGCCTAATTTACGCAATATAAAACTTTAAAAAATGATGCTATTGCTTCGCCACGAAGCCCAGAATAAAATAAAAACCCCAGGAAACACCCATCCTCCTCGACCTCAATCAGAACAGATTTTAAACGCGTCCTACTGGGCTGTGAAACCAACTCCGTGGCAGCCCTGACCGTTTTTGTAGAAACATCCACACAGATTAAAACAACCCGTGTAACGCCCAAACCGACTGATTCAATTCTCTGACAAGCCTCCCTAACCACTAACCTTTGTCCCGCCGAGTTACTCGCACAAAATAACCCACGGATATGTCAGGGCGCCTACAGCAAAAGCCTTCAAATCGTGAAGAAGTGACTATCGCCCAAAATGCTGGTCGAGTAACTCCAGTTTTGGCATGGTGGATGACTCACGTGTTTGCCGTTTTCTGGTTGGCAACCGCACGTAGTAGTTCTAGTCGGGCGGTCAACGACGTGCTTGACCGAAGGGGCCGTACCAAGTTTACTGTTGACAAATGTCAGCAGTTGCCTAGTCCTTGAGACGCTAAACCCCTTGACGTGCCATTTTTAGATCTTGAACGTCAAAGTATGGTAGTCTCAAGTTAACTGGAACGGTTTTTTGTTTGGTGCCACTGTTAAAAAAAAGCAGAAACGGATCTAAAAACGGAAAATTCCCTTTGCTTATTAAGACAGCCGCGCTGGTTGGTGGGAGGTGCACATTTGGCCCAAGTTATAAGCTAAGGCAACAAAACTAAGGGTCCATTTGAACGCGTTTGCAAACTGCCCCTAAAACGATTCATTCGGTAGATGTGCTGGACCAACGCGAAAGGAAAATCATATATTTTTTATCTGGCTTGAGCAAAATAACATGTAAGGTTCATAAGACTGCAATAGAAACGAAATATGTTGCATATTTTATGAGGAGCAGGATATGGCATCCTGCAACCCGACACTAGCGGTTACGCCGCAGTGTTTGATGGACATCATCCAAGTATTTTTGCAGCGAATGTCGATCTACGCCTATCGACCTCACTTAAGAGGGACTTAATACGAGTTAAAAGTTAATTTCTGAGGAAGTTAAAAAGCGCCAATTTATGACAAGCATTAATAGACGGACAGGTACGATGCTGTATACATTGACAAAAATTTCATGGTTATAAACTTTTTTTAAAACCGAAGGGCACTCTTTCTTCGAGTATAAAATCGAAAGAGGACGTGATTCGTTACCGACTTAGGGGAAAAGCAGCATATTTTTGTGTTTTTATTGAAGATACCTGAATATTTAAGACCATTAAAATCGATGTGAAAAATGAGTACTAATAAGCTAGTCGTTGTTTACGACTGCGGTTTTTACAAGTCAGAAAAAGGAGCATTTAAATGCAAACGTCCTGGGTCGCATGGTAATCGACATTATAACCACACCTAAGAAATCCTTCCTGATCGAAAACGCATTTTAGAATTTCGGCTAGCGTTTCACGAGATCAGTCACTCATTGTAGTTGCCTCTAAGTTTCTAGGAACACCGCTTGTAAAACCTTCGATAAATGTTATTCTCAAGATAGGGGGTAGAGTTTACCTTGGCTGAGCAAGGTGTTTGTGAGGCCCACATAACGACAACCTAAGTAAACACCCACATTTTGTACCTACGCGTCAAGGTCGGCTGTTTTGTTACGTAGAAGACTGTCAATAATACACGCCGCATCGAATGCAATGTCACACCATTGACTTTAGTTAAACTGAAAATTCCACCTTGATCTGCATATCATCAGATGTCCGCAAATGAGACCAGAGGGTTCTAGTACCAATGGACAAAAGTAAAACATTGACTTAAACAGAACACACAGCGTTGGCGGCAGTCAGTCGGAGGAAGGTAGTAAGTTTGTGGAGGCCGTGAACCCGGATGAGTCTTACATCGACAGGCATATCGATCTGAATGCCGCGTAGAAAGGTCCCGATTAAAAAAGTACAGAATGAGTCAAACAGGAAGAAACGCCTAATAAGTGCTGGCTCAAAGCAGAATCGTTAATGAGGCAACGCTAAAAATTAACAGCTCTCAGCGGCGCTTGGT